GTATTCATAACATTAAAGATATCTTCTCCTGTTGTGATATTCCCACATGATCCCTACCAAACTCCGGTGCAACGTGTACCCCCACCAAACTCTTCCCGTACCCCTGGGGGTACGCGTACCACACTTTGGGAAACACTGCATTAGATTGATCATTGTCCTTTTGTGTCTTGAATATCTAGCTGGTATTGGAAATTTCTCCTTCTGACCCAGGGCTTATACTCATATCCCACTTGCTGCAGCAAAAGATGCATGTTTTAGCCTGTTTGAGGGGAAAATTCTCATGGCCTCGCCTCCATCTTATGTCACCACAGTTATAGAAACTAAGCAATCAATTTTAGTTCCACTTTACCAGCATAGTAGCCATATCAACTGAACGAATTAATAGAGAAATGATAGCACTTAGCAATATCACTTATATACTGCTTCATGGTGCTTTTACAGCCCTCTCTAAGTTGTTTACAGAGTCAGCATATTGCCTCCGACAATCTGGGTTCTCATTTTACTCACCTTGGAAGTATGGAAGGCTGAGTCAGCCTTGAGTCAGTGAGATACGAACTGCCGAACTTGCAGCTAGCAGTCAGCTGAAGTAGCCTGCAGTACTGCATTCTAACCACTGCACCACCTTGGCAAAGAACATTTCCTTTAAAGTTGATGGCCCTAATTTCTAAGGAGGTTTCCTCTGTATCTTAACTGGAAGACTGTTTTAAACTGTGTTTAAAGAGGAACAGTTTTGCCATGTTTTATGTAGTCCAGAAGAAACCTTTCCGCGTTCTATCAGTTATACGTTTCTTTCTTCATCACACTTTTATTTTCTGACATTAAATCTGATACATTAAAATTTAATAATTATTTTTAAAATTTATTCTAAAATGAATTTTTAAAAATATTCTTAAATTTATTCTAAACATGAATAGATCATCAAAATTTAAAATCACTGATAAATGAAGATAAATGATAAATACAGTCAGACGAGGAATCCACTGGTTGTTACTCAATGCTTATATTTTTTCTCAATTCCATCCCTCCAGACTTTATTAAGTAGAAAAGACAATTAATGCAATGAGATGTGATAGAAGTAAATGAGATGAAGAAAATATAGAATCTGTGAGTAGCTGTATCTCCTGCAACTGTTTGGAACTTTCTGGAGATTTCATATTTACCCAAATGAAGCTTAGAAACTGCTAATTTCATGTGACTGCCATTTGTCATTAATGTTTAGTCCTGACATATTTTCTTTGGAATTCATTGTTCTTCTTCTCAGTCTCTGCCTCAATCCAAATGTGTAGAAAAATGTCATCCTGGATTTGCCAAGCAGGCTCGAGAAGGAGAGCCTGTTTGCTGCTATGACTGTGTCCCTTGTTCAGAGGGGACCATCTCCACTCGGGAAGGTGGGTGACACCAGAGGAAAGGCTACTGAATTCAACCAGAGCATTTCAATCAATGTACATGTTTTAGGAGACATATCAACAATTGACTATTTTATTGTTCTTAATTTTCAACATTTGGAAAAATACAATAACAATCTTGAAGGATGAGATAGGAAGAGAGCAAATGATATTCAGGAATTGGGGAAGTTAATTCTGCTGGAGGAAATATTTCTTCCATTTGTCAGTTGGAAATTTGAATTTTGTAAAACTTGAGAAATGGTTTCAGGTCAATGATTCTTGCTCACACAAACTACCTCCTATTTAATATTTACTATGGCTTTCTGGTCTCTCAGTATCAGCACATCAAAAGAAAGTCTATCTTCACATGAAAGAAGAGATTGTATAAGAAAAATTATATTCTATTTTCTCAGATACTGAAAAATGCACCAAGTGCCCTGATGATCAATATCCAAATGAGAACAGAGTCCTATGTATCCCCAAAAGAATAACCTTCCTGTCCTATGAAGAACATCTGGGCATCATCCTCATCTCCTTTGCCCTATTCTTGTTCCTAACCACAGGCCTTGTTTTAATCATCTTCATTAAATACCAAGAAACTCCCATTGTCAAAGCCAACAACCGGGACCTCTCCTTCATCCTCCTGATCTTCCTTCTGCTTTGCTTCTTGTCTCCTTTTCTCTTCATTGGTCAACCAAGGAAAGCCACCTGCCTTCTCCGACAGACAGTTTTCAGCAGCATCTTCTCAACTGCCATTTCTTCTCTCTTGGCCAAAACCATGACCGTTGTGCTGGCTTTCCTGGCCACAAAACCAGGAAACCGAGT